CCCCTGCCGACATCAAAGCCCTTTGTCGGCAGCCCCGTTATTCCTCGTGGGATAAGGTTTACCAGGGCTGCCGACAAAGGGCTTTGATGTCGGCAGGGGAGCGTCCAGACTAGCACGCTGAGCGGACAAACAGCTGATCAGAATTAATAAAATTTGATTTTTTTTTTAAATAAAGGACTTAAGGACAGCCATCAGAAGACTGCAACTGGAAGTATCAAACATGTAACATTTAAGATTTAGTTTAACAAAATGTAAGTGCTATTGTATTTGTGTGTTAGAGTTAGCGATTACCGTTCCTAATATACTGCTGAATCCCTGCACTTTCATAACTTCATGACTTAGTACCTTCAAGGACCTAACAGACACAGAAGAGTACAACATTCTATAGGTCTGCTAGTTGCACTGCTTAGTCTATGAGAAGCCAGACCTGATTTTGGACATTCTTATGTAGAGAAGCTTCCTTACAGTCCGTCATATTGGCACACTTGACTACACAAGGTTCACTAGCACCTATGAACTTTTGTATAAGAGGACAGGAGGCAGCCCATCCTTAAAGCTAGGTGTGCAGTCACTTGCATTGTGCACTGCAGTATGGGTTGAACTTTTCTAGCCAGACCAGAGAGTGCCAGAGAACATCCATTATCCGACTAACTAAAATTATGCTGGATGTCCACTATCATCATGGGCATGGCTGAGGTCCTATCAATTCAGCTACCTTCAACAGTGGAAGATGATCATCATCCCATAAAGCCCATCCTATTTTATAAATCTTAATCTGTTGATAAATTATTCATGTTTTACATTTAAGTCTTCAAAGGAATAATGTAAATGTTGTTCAATGACCTTGTATTTTTCCTCTCAAAACAAGACAGTTCTCTCTTAAGTAGTAAATAACTATTTATGACCATGGTCCCCAACCCGGTGCCCGTGGGCGCCATGGCACCCGCCGGGCCCTTTACGTGCGCCCGCAGAGCAATCTGGGCTGGACCCACCCCTGGGAGTGCAGCAGGTGCCAGCCCCGGGCGCATGGCCAGCCCCGGGTGCGCCATGCGTGCCATGCCGACCCTG